AGTTAGTCAGTTCCTTTGGAAACATTGGTCAATAAAACAATATTATTGGGGCTGGGGATTTAGCTCAGCAGCAAAAGTGCCTGCCTGGCAAGCGCAAGGTCATGAGTTCGGTTCCCAGTACTGGAGAAAAACCAAAAATAAATAAATAAATAAATAAAATAAAAAATAAAAACATTACATTTGGGGTATAAATTATCTGATTCCTCTATGTTAAGTGTCCTGTAACAGTGGCAATCGCAGTGTTTTAAATCATTGTTTCCTCCTATTGAACAAAGCTAGACCTGTCAGCTTTGATGTCATCTCCGCGATCTGATAAAAATAGACGTGTTTGGAAGGAATAGAAGAGCTATCAATTTTGGGATATTTGCATTATTCCACTTCTTTTCCTTTCATTTTTTTTCTTGATGTCCTTGTTGCTTTTGTTCTGCCTTAGCGTTGCATCAGTTTAGCTATCGGAAATAAGGAAGAGCATGCCATACTTCTCTGTAATTTCTTTTTGTATTTTGGAAAGAAGGCTTTGGTCCTCCTGGGAACTTCATTTTTAGAAGTAAGTTTTGGAACTGTATGTGCAAAACTAAATCAGATTTCAACTGCAAGTTTAAAACCTTCAACCTCACATTTGCATCTTTTCATAAGCTAATTAAAGAATTTTATGGTCAATAAATAGTTAAGAGGATGATATTGATCCATCAAAATTACTGCAATTCTAGGAATAACTTCCTTCCTGTTTTCCCCTTTGAGAAGTGGCTTTAAAAATTGTGCTACTTCATCAGGGACTATTAAATTACCCAGCACATAGAAGGCACAGAGAACAGCACCTGTTCATGGCAAATACACAAGTATGGGGGGGGAGGGGAATTCTGTAGCATTAGTTACAGTGTAGTTTGGTGGCTGTTTCCTTCCTCATGACCAGGATCATCCTTGGGTTTCTATATTTTAAGATTTTTAGCAAATATTTTTTCTCAAACTTGATCTCCCAGACTTTACTCTTGTAAGAGTGGCTAAGAAATTCATGTCTACCTGTCTAGAATTTTTACAACTATATATTTTATGTTTTCCTAAATTCATACCTCAGAAAGCTGCCCTTTTGGATTTTTAGTTCCACCAGGAATATCTTGCTAAGTGTCCATGTTCTAGTCTTGTCTTGCCTCATGATTTTTTTCATGATAATTTACTCTCCTGCATTCTTTTGACATAGTTTATTTCTGTGTTAACTTTGTGAACTAAATCCTATGGTTAATCCTGGGATATAATCCTCTGTTGTAGTTTTATGTGTCACTAGGTGGCAGTAAACAGCCAACAATATTTCAACAAGTACAGTCCATGCATTTGTGTCTCTAAAACCCATACTGTGGGAATCACCTGAGCTGGGTGGTTGAAGTGCAGCGTCCCCTACACTAGAGAGAAGTTGGATGCATTGATAAACAGCACGAGCTTTGGAGATAAGGAGGCCAAAGCTACACAGAGTAGTGTTAAGAATACGAATTTGGAGTGCAGACAGGGATTTAAAACCTAATAATGTCACTTACTGTCTATATGATCTCAGTTGTGTTTGCCTCTCTCTGTTATTACCTCACAGCCTTGGAATAATGCCACTTTCTGTTACCCTAGCTGAGACCCTCAACCTCTGACTCTTCTCATATGGAAGGTGGGCATAATAATCATCCCCACCTCACAGAATTGACAGTGAATTAAAGCTCTGACTTTCCATTCCTAACTCAGCCTGACATTTACCGTCAGTCTTCAGTACAGCCTAGCCACAGGGCAGCCAGTCTATACAGTACCTTTGTGTGGACTAGAGAAAAGTGCCTCTACCTCAGAATGCATTAGTAGTGCCTGTTGGAAAAATCACTATGATATACTGATTTTGTTACAATAACATATTGTACTAGCATCGGGGCATGCCCAGTGTTCTCTCACTTGAATCTTCTTGCTAATCTTTCTTGGGTCTGAGGACTTTTGGAGTTTTAGGGTCCCCTTCTTTTTAAAAAAATTTAAAAGCCCTTTAAAATTTTATTTTAGAAATGATAATCATTACATTATAATTTCCTCATATAGAAGTTAGTTAAAACCACCAAAAGTGACTTTAAATATTTTTCTTTTAGGGGCACGTTGCCTATGTCTTAACTCAAGAAACTAATGAATATTTGTTTTGGAATCCATCGACTGGACAATGCCACAAGCAGTTTGATCCATTCTGTCCCTTACAAAGTGTAGATTGCTTGTTTAATGATAGGAATGTAAGTATATGGAGAGAAACCTTATTTTCAGTTATCTCCTCAAGAGTCACCCTAACTATATATGAGAATCACCTGTGAACTTTGAGGACCTAGACATTCAGTCAGAATCCCTGGGGCAGTGCGGATGGGCAGTCTTTATCCTTAAAGCTACCCCAGGTGATTCTGTAGGGCTTCCATGGTTGAGACCTAGTGAGGTAGTCCTATGATCACAAAATCCCGGCATCTCTGTCTCCTCTTCAGAACTTCTCTTGTCTTCTACCACTTTGGTGAGTAGCAAAACTGTAAACATTTGCTCTATCTTTACTAACTACTGACCTTGTGTTTCTATAGGCCTACATTGGTTTTCTGTTAATGTTTTAATAGGTCTGGTTTAATATTCAACAAAATAACACACCAATGGCTGTATATCTTGACTATTCAAAGGAAAGTTTCTGGAAACAGTTGCTTCCAAAAAATTTTCAGGGAACAAAAGTACAAAGCATACAGGTAAATTATGTTTTTCCAAGTGGGTCTATGTAAAAGTTGCCATTACTTCTCGTGATAACTCCTGTTATTTTTATGGTTGATTGCTTATTGAATTATTTGGCAATGTTAAACAAAACCATGTTAAACAAAACAAGATCTGCCTTCTGATCTTGTTTGGGTTACTTTGACCCCTTCTAAATGCAGAAAAAAGAATGCAATGAAGAAATTGAGAAAAAAAAAATTTGTCTTGGGCCTGCCTGGCAAGCATAAGGTCCTGAGTTCAATTTCTGGTACCAAAAAGAAAAATATTTTGCCCCATATGTAAATTTAAACTTTATGAAAATTGGCAAAAACTGCACATCAGGGCCCCAAACTGTGATCATTATCTTATGGACTAGAAACAGGACAGAAACACAAGCAGTGCACAGGGCTGATCCAAAGGTATTAATAAGGTCAGAAAATGCTTTAGGAAAATCAAGGACTCACTTTTGAGACCAGGAATTATGACAGGGCTTCCCTACACCTCTGCTTTTGAAAGCTATAAATTTGCTGTCTGAGGCTCGTGGGAATCCAAGAGCTGATTCAGTCTGTAGTTGGGTTGGCCGACGAAATCTGTGATGTACTCATACACTTTGGGTCGGCATTCCAGATACCATTTCCACAGATGTTTCTTAATTGAGGGCCATGGTATGGCAGGGTGAAGACAACTACAAAATCCACAAATTAGGCACTGTAAGCTCAGGAAGAAAGGAAAGAAAAAAAAAGGAGGCGAGAAAGACAAAAAGAACAGTAGAAAAATGGGCAAAAGACAGTCCACAGAAGCAGCAGCTCAAATATTCAATTTAAAAAAATAGAATATTATTTCAAGTGCATAAAACTGACCAAAAGGAGTGTTATCAGACCAGTTACTGGCAAAGAAAAGAAATAGTGGGATATAAACTGCTGTACTTCGGAAAGCAGTGTGATTATATCTGGTACAGTTGAAGATGAATAACCTTTGATTCCTTCGTACCAAATCAGATTAGAGGCTACTTTTGGGGAGAGGGACAAAAAGGAGGAGATAGGGGAGCAATATACATAGTACTTCCAGCCTTTCCACAGTTTCTTCTTTTTTAAAATTAATTAAGTTATTGGTACATTTTAAGTGTACATAATGATCACATTCATAATAGGGAATTTGTACCTGTACATGATGTATCTTCATTCTTTTTCCCCCTTCCCTACCTTCCTGTCAACCCCTCTTCCCCTACTTATTTACAAATCCTTTGTTTCCATTTTTTTCCTTTTCTTGTTTTGCTTTCTTTTCCCTTCCTTCCTTTCTCCCTCCCCACTCCACAGCTCCCCTTCCCATTTTAACATTTTCTTCCTATTTCACAATATATATTATACATTTTGGCCCTTATTTACACTTTTGGTTTCTCATACCAGAGAAAAAAACACAATATTTACACGTGTTTAATTTAATTCACTTAGGAAAAGTGCATTCATTTAGCTATAAATGTCTCAAGTTTATCCTTCTTTATGGGTGAGTAGTACACCATTGTATTAAAAAATGACAGCTTTATCCATTCATCAGCTGATGGGCACTTGGGCTGTTTCCAACATTTAACTATGAAAAACTGTGCGGCTATAAATGTAAACATTGGTGTGCAGATATAACATGGTATGATGCTTTTAATTCTTTTGGGATGATACTGAGAAGAGGAATAGCTGGATCAAATGGAACCTCTAGTTTTAGTTTTTTGAGGACTCTCTGTATTGATTTCTACAGTGGTTGCAACAGTCTATACTCCCAGCAACAGTGGACAAGGGTTCCTTTTCCCCACAGGCCCACCAGCATTTGTTATTGGGTGATTTCTTGATAATAGCCATTCTTTCTGGAGTGAAATGGAATCTCAGCATTGTTTTAATTTATGTTTCTTGAATGACCAGTGATACTGATTATTTTTTCATATATTTATTTTCCATTTCTATTTCTTCATCTGAGAAGTGTCTATTCATTTCAGATGCCATTTTTGGATTGGGTCTTTAAATTTAGGAGGTCTGCTTTGAGTTCTTTATACATTCTATATATTAGTCCTTTGTGTGAGGAACAGCTAGAAAAAAATTTCCCCATACTAGGTTGTCTGTTCACTCTGTTGGTAGTTTCACTTCCTATCCAAAAGCTTTTCAATAAGATGAGGTCCCAATTGTTGATTCTTTGCGATCCCATGCAATCTGGGTTTTGTTCATAAGTCTTTTCCTACACCAATGTCTTCCAGAGTTTTACCTATTCTATTTTCCAGCAGATTTAGTGTTTCTGCTTTAATAGTTAAATCTTTGATCCATTTCAATTTTAGTTTAGTGCATGGTTAAAGATATGGGTCTAATTTTAATCTTCAGTATATGGAGAGCCTCTTTTCCAGCAGCATTTATTATAGAGGCTATCTTTTATCCAGTGAAGGTGTTTGGCACCTTAATCAAAGATAGGGTGGCTGAGTATGTCTGGAGTTGCTTCTGTATCTTTTAATCTGTTCCATTGATCCTTGGGTCTGTTTTTTTTCCAGTATCATGCTGTTTTGTTTGTTTGTTTGTTTGTTTGTTTTGGTTTTTCTCCAGTACCAGGAACCGAACTCACGACCTTGAGCTTGCCAGGCAGGCGCTTTGCTGCTGAGCTAAATCCCCAGCCCCTATCACGCTGTTTTTATTACAATACCTTTGTAGTACAGATTCAAGTCAGGGTTTGATGCCCCCTACCTTGCATTTGTTGCCAAGAATTGTCTTTGCTATTCTAAGTCTCTTCTGGTTACAAATGAGTTTTAGGATCATTTTCTCTAATTCTGTGAGGTAGACTATTGGTATTTTGCTTGGTATTGCATTAAATCTCTATAACAGTTTTGGAAGTATTGCCATTTTCATTGGTTCTTTCTACCCAATAACAAAGCATATCTTTCTATTTTCTGATATACTCTTCAATTTCCTTTTCCAAAGTACTGTAGTTATCAGTGTAGAGGTTTTTTTCTTTCTTAGTTAGATTTATTCCTAAGTAAGTCATTTTTCAGGACACTGTTGTGAAAGGTGTTGTTTCCCTGATTTCTCTCTCAATGAGTTTGTTATTTATGTACAGGAAGACCATTGATTTTGGGGTGTTGTTTTTGTATCCAGCTATGCTACTGAATTTGGTTTTTAAGTCTAGAAGTCTTTTGGTGGAGTTTTTGCAGTCCTCAAGATGGCAATTTTACCCTCAGAGAGAAAAAAAATTAAAAGGGATTAAGAGAAAAAATAGAGAAATAGAAGAAAAGGAAAAGATCAGAAGCAAGGCTGAAGGACAAAGGAAGATCTGGCAAAGGTAGGAAAACTGGTAAAGATGACAGGAGAGAAGGAAGAAACAAAACAAGAACAGAACAGAACAACAAAAACTAGAACTATGTTCATAATCACATAAAAATAAGAACAAGAAAAAAAGAACAAGAAAAGAGAGAAAATAAGAAAAATGTCCACTTCAATGTGTGTCTCTGCTGTCACTGGTAGACAATGTGGATAGATAGAGTCCAAATCTGAGTTGACTAATCAATCCCAGCAAGGCAGCAGGTGAGCCTTTACCTTTAGTTCCGCTAAAGTTTAGACTGGTTTCTGGCTGTGAGGCTGGAACTAGACCCTTTCAGCCTGTAGCAGTTCATGCTCCTCCTGCTGACTTGTACTCAGCTCCCTGCCAGCTCCAACCTGGTCCCCTGACCTCCTGACAACTTGAGCTCAGCTCCCTGACCCGGGCATTGAGAGCTGTGAAGTGGAATCAGCAGTTGCTCTGAGTTCTGAGCTTGGTTGTCCCCTCTCCGAAATAGCTCCAGGCCAATTGCCTCTCCTGTGGAAGTCTGAACTCAAATAACTCTCCAGCCACTGCAATCTTCAGTGTCCGCTGTTCCATTCCACTGGAGGCCTGTGAGGTCACCAGTAGTCACTGTGCATCTGTATGTTCAAGCCACCTCTCCCACAGAGGGTGTCTGGGCTCAGAGAAAATATGCTGCCTGCCACCTCCTCCTTCTTCATTGAATTTTCTCTCTTTGCTCTCTCCATGGACTTCAGATCTCAAGTGAGATCCTTCCTGAGTCCCAGAGATTCACTTCCCTCCTCTTTCCCTCTTATTGCTATATTCCAGTGTCTGTACACCAAATCTTAGCAAGACTCTTTCTCTACTGCTCACCACTCCACCATTTTCCATGAAGTCCTCCATAGTTTCTTCTTTATTAAAAATCTAAAATAAATAATGAAGAATTCAGTAATTAGATATAGCTGGGTAATAGGTATATCAAGTGGATGTTCATTAAATTATCTCTGTGCTTATAAATTTAAGGCAACTCACAATATCCCAAAGAATGCATGATGGTTGGGGTGGGCTAAAAAGACTGCCAAAGTATAGAAAGTGAAGAGTTTTCCTGCCCTTCAGTGTCTTTCCTTACACTCTAAGATATAACTACTGTACAGTAGTTAATTTCTTATATATCTTTGTAAGCATTTCCATGTGGATCAAGCATATGTATGTATTGGTATATTTCCTATTGGAAATATCATTTTTATGATGGGGAAATATGCTTATCTCTCTTAAGCAAACTATATTTACAGCCTCTACAGTTCATGTTTTGCTTTTCCGAGCCCAAAGCTATGGCTGAAGCACGGCTGCCTTGTGACGAGTAAATAACCTACTGACAAATCAGGTTGTTTGCTCAATGCAGTGTCATTCTCTTATTTATTCAGGTGATATTTATTGATGTCTGCTGTGACCCATTGAAGCGTTGGGTGTAGATACCACAAAGAAAAAAGATAGATCTCAGTGTTTTGGGAATGTCTGTTCTGCAGGAGAAAACAACCAGCTGCAGTGAGGCACGATCAATGTGCTTGGAGAAGAAATGAATGAACTTTGGGAATACATAGCAGAAGGGCCTAAAGCAACGAGTTGCAGGGCTCCTAGAAGTGGTAACAGCTGAGTGAGGAACAGTGACAGGAGTTTGCCTAGATGAAAGTCGGGGAAGAAAATGTTTCCAGTAGAGAGAAAGATGAGATTTGCAGTGGTGAGGAGATAAACTGTCAAGGAGCTGGAAGGCCAGTTTGTGTGTCTGACAGGGAGTGAGCAAAAATGAGCTAAGGAGTAAATAGAATAAAAGATTTGATCCTTTATCCACAGGACAGTCAGGAAACAGCACCAATAAGGCAATGAGTGCCATGATCAACCTTGTGTTTTAAGAGCCTCTCTTAGGGTAAAAACTAAACCTTCTGCCAAGTTGAATCTATAAATAGAAGGTTGTATTTGTGTCTGACTACTATCTCTGTTATTTACTTCCTGTGGATTAATGGCCCTCCATCTTCTACCTTGCCACATTTGTCCCAGAATAAAGTACTATCTAGAGTGAGCACTTGTCTGTTACACACGACTGAAACACAACTTTGAATGTATATAATGAGTATGTGGGTATGCAGAGGTGAGGCTAACAGGAAAACCCTCTTGAAGTTTTGTAGCATGTGAATTCCCAGAAAAAAGGGTGGACCTTTGCTAAAAAAAGAAAACAGACCTCATAAATACATCAAGGCAGTATACCCACACCTAATTTTCAAACCTGAAGGAACCTAACTTATCCACAAGCATTGCCCAGGTTGGGGTAGAGGGATTGACAGCAATTGGTAAGAACAATCAAAAAATTTAGTCTACCTGTCCTACCTGGAATAGCTGCCGGCCCCTTCAAGGTGACACTTGTATTTATATTTCCATCCTAATATCTTCTGTGTCCTACTATGTTCTGGTATGGGGATGTTCCCTTGGCGTGAGACTGATCTAGTGGTCCTCCAACCATGGAAGGCATCAGAACCACCAGAAGGCGGTGCTGATTAAAACACAGCTCATTAGGCCTCCCCCAGAGTTTCTGATTCAGTGGTTCTGAAGGGAGGGCCGAGGACTTGTATTTCTAACAAGTCTCTAACTCTGACATTGAAAACCTAGTATACTGTCATGTTGCTCGCCTTTGGTACAACCCTCATTCCAGTCACGAAGGAAAAACATCTATCTGTATATCCTACTCTGTTCCTCATCTCAAGAATATTCAAAGTAAAAACTAAGCCCAGGTCTCACTACCATCCTTGTGAGCCTTGCAGGAAGGACAGGGTTGAGCTGGGAAGGAACTTGAGCAGTTCTCCACCTCTTCTAGACAATCTTTTCCAGGACAGAAACATAAGGAAATGGGAAAGAGTATTGCTGTCAGCTTTTGGGAGTGGGGAGTTGCCTGAGCAAAGGCATGGAGACAGAGAAGTTTGAAATGGATTGTGTGTGTGTGTGTGTGTGTGTATGTATGTCTGTTTGTGTTCATTTGTACACTAACACATGTGTGCACACAGAAACGCAAGCACAAAGAATTGCCAACTGTGCGAAACAAATACTCAGGGAAGAATGATGATAAATCATGTTAGAAGACTTAATAACAATAATGTCTGATGTTTATTGAGCATTCTATATATGTCAGGCTTTACATATATTTAGAAATCTTCCTAAGGTCCAAGAGCAGTAGGCACTATTATAGTGTAGTTTGTATTCTAAAGATGAGGCAAATGAGATTCAAAACAGAGTTTAAGTAACTTCACCAGAGACACAGTAATTGGAAGAGATTCATTCAGCTGCCAAAGATTATTTGTAAGCATCAGTAGCATGGCAAATGCTTATTTGGATAAATGAATAGGATAGTAGGTCTGTCTTACTTATGAAAAATGTCTTGTTTTTAAATCTTCCTCTCTCTTGCCCTTATTCTCTGTTAAAGTAATTTTGAGATCAAATGATATGCAGTGATCTTTGTTTTATTTAAGGGATTGAGTGTTTTTACTACAAGAAACTGGTTTGGGTCCCACCACTCCTAGAGCTCCTAGGGGTAACTTTGATATAAGGATGATTTCTCTAGAATATTTCTTAACTTTTAGTTGTATGTCTTTCAGCCTGAAGAAATCATTTATTCTGATACAAATAAAAATATGGTAGAAGATCTAAAGAACAGGTATGATGTTCTCCTGCTAATCTCTTGTTAGTCAACTTTCAGTCCTCTAACCCAGTCTTTCAAAATAGCTGTGAGATTAGGCAACTGAAGCATGGAGAGGGAGATTATAATGGTTAGTGCCACTGAACTACAGTACTGGTTTCTTGGTAAAGTGACCCCCTCTTTCATCCAGGGAGCCCCTTGAGAGAACAGTGTACGTTAATTCAGGAAAACCTTGTAGCCCACTGTTGGAAATTTCTCAGCACAAGTGTTTGTTGAGCTGCGGTAATAATAATCCAATAGCTAACACTTTTTGAAGGACAGAAAGATAAATGGCCCGTGACCCAGAGTATAGTAAAAGCATCACAGTTAGATGGTAGAAATAGCTCCCTTCTCCCCCACACACATGCACACGCACACCAGTGCCGTGAGTTGTTCAGTTAAGCCCAAAGGGTCACAGGCTTTGAAAAGGCCTTATTCCACTCCAGATGCATCAGAAACTTCTGGATCTGACTGCCCTCACTGACTCACACTCACATATCAGGCTGGCAGGTATGTCCCTAGCAATTAATCAAAACATAGCAGGAGGAATATCATTTTGCCGTTCTCTTTTCCCACTAGCACACAATCCACTCCACCTGTTATTCCCACCCCTCACTTCCCATTTCTTAACAAATTTAAAAACGTAAGAAATGCATCAGAGAAATTGTTCTGAAGCTCTAGTTTTCATCAGAACTGTTTCAGGGGCCCAGACCAGGCTTGTTGAATACCTAGAAGTGAAATAGTCTAATAAAGCACCAGATATTATTTATTCTGATGCATGGCCATGACTGAGACCCTCTGCAAACTCCAGCCTGCTTAATTGCAATACAAAGCTAACCAAGAGGAGACACCTAGCGCCTTTACCGGTAACACACGCTGTGGTAAAGACTGTATCCCACGCATAAAAGAGAGGCTTCCCAGAATGACCCCATCAACCAGGTCACACTATTCCCAGCACATTTTCTTACCAGACACTATCTTGTCACCAAGTCAAACTGAGGAGGTCACTTGAGCTTCAGACTGCCTGAAGAGACACAGAACCCAGAACTGTGGAAATGTGTAAATATGCCTTTATTCACAGGTGCCACTTAGGTGCCACTCACATGGAAGTCCGCAGGCCTCAAGTCCAGCTATGCATAAGGGTCCATATAATAGTGGTTACGTGCCAGTAACAACCTTGGTTATAGCTGAAACCAATGAGGTGCACCTGTGATGAAATTTTGCTGATTTGGATTTAAATCACACAGCCTGAACCAAAGTTTAGCCATCTTAGGCTTCATTTTTCCTTACACACCATTCTAGGAGCTAAAAATACCAATAAAAACCCCTGCCTATATGGAAAGCTACATTCTAGAGGGGGAAAGCCCATCATCAAACTTATCAGTCCATTGTCTCATCTTCTCCTGGCTCTGCTTACTAAATTAGCTGATCTAATAATCCCATTCCTGCTAAAATCATCCTAGACCAAATATCTGAGCTTTTATAAAGGCGGTTTCTTGGAAACACAATGTCCTGTGTCAAAGGAGGGTCTTAAAGAGTGGAATGTTGATGCAGTGATTGGACGGCAGGTGTTGTCAAATCACACCCAGGTGGCAGCTGCTTACACACCCGTGTAAGAGACGTGCTTTGGAGATCTAATTGTTGGATAATCAATGAAGACTTTTGCTGTCCCCAGCCAACCAGAAGTTTATTTATCCTTTATTTCATTAATGTGAATGGTGACAGACAGCCCTCACTGTAGAGGGCTGGTTTTCTTGAAACTCTAAAGTACTTGAATATGGTACTGGAATAAAAGTGAGGAGTGAATAAAAGTGACAAAGCCTGCATGGTGTGGTACTTGAATAAAAATGACAAAGCCTTTTACTATAATCTGGGTCACAGGCCATCATATTTACTAAATAAATCATAATTTGTCATTACAAATGATCTTTGCATTTTTACCTTAGGATTGAAAGAACTCTAAAATGTAAAATAATGGAATGGAGACCTAAGCACCCAACACGTTGGAATCGACAGTGTACTTCTATTTTGCGACAAATCCTTCCTAAGCTAGAACTTGGCATAGAAAGTCCTGTTTCATCTGAAGAAGAGAATGAATTTGAAAGACTGCTACAATTTTACTGGGTTTGTATATGATTTAATGCACTAGTGACATTTGCTTTTCGGTGTTGTTGATTGATAAATAGCAATCTTAAATATCTCTGAAATGCCCTTTTTTTGGTCCTCAAAGAGAGATCCTGAGGCATTAAAATGCATTTACTTATAGACAAAAAAGGAAAAACCAAAACTAGTGAACTGTTTATTACCAGAATCACATTGCCTGGCTTTTTTTAACCAGTGATATGTTTCATGATGGGTAAACTACAAACTTTGGAAAAAGATGCCCAAGTGGAAACCATACAGTTGAGAAACTGAAAGAGGATCTCTAGTAATAGAATGAATTTCCTGCCATTAGTTCTGGGCAAGAGGATTCCAGGCAAGCTTCAACATCACCTAGATGCAAATTACTCCCAAATTTACACACTCAGCCTGGCCTTCTCTTCTAACCCTTCCATTTATATTCATTACCCTATTGACATCTTCTTGGATAGTGAAAAGCTATCTCAAAATCAGCAAGTGCATAAGCAAATACATTGGGCATTTGGTATTTTGTTTAGTCCACCTTTCCTTCTTTTACCCTAGCTCCTCACCTGGCATCCTTTTACTTCCATTTCCCTATGAACCAGTCCAATAAGTTTTTGAATACTCCAGCCTTCTAAGAGTGAGAATTCTTCCCTCTACCATCCAATATTCTATGTGCCTCCTTAGGGGAACCTCGGAAAGGAGGAAGTGAGGGATTTGTTGGGAGTAGTACTTTGACTACTAGTGAGGAATCTGGCAAGCACTATTTATGAATAGGAGGAAGTTTCATTTTTAATCGAATTAGGGGTAATCAGATGAGCAAAATATAGTTAAGTGTAAAATAAGATTTAAAACTTGCAGTTGCTATGTGAAATTATCTATTTAAAAATATGTAGTCGGGGCTGGGGATTTAGTTCAGCAGCACAGTGCCTGCCTGGCAAGTAGGAGATCGTGAGTTTGATTCCCGGTACCAGAAAACAAACAAACAAACAAAAAATTTTAAATATATAGTCAACAATAATAAATCTAGAATGAACCCAGCAATCTGTATTCAAATCCTAGTTTAACCACTCACTAGCTTTGACCTAGAGCAGGTTACCTAAACTCTCCATACATTCTATCCACTAGATAACAGGAGTAAAAATAGTTATTTGTTTCATGGTTGTGAAAAAGGATTAAATGAGTAAATTCTTAGCATTGCACCCAGTACCTGTTTATTAAACACTACCGTTTCAGGGCTGGGCATTTAGCTCAGCGGCAAAGCGCCTGCCTGGCAAGCGCAAGGTCGTGAGTTCAGTTCCCGGTACCAGAGAAAAACCAAAAAAAAAAAAAAAAACACTACCGTTTCTATTCTATATGACAGGCATTGTGCTAGACAGTGCAGAAGTGACAGGGCCCTGGTGGCACATACCTGTAATACTAGCACTCTGGGAGGCTGAAGCAGGAAAATCATATGTATGAACCTAGCCTGGGCAATTTAGTGACTTAGCAAGATCCTATCTCAAAATAAAAAATAAAAAGGGAATTAAGATGTAGCTTAGTACAGTGACCCTATATTCAATCTCTAGTACTGCAAAAAAAGAAAAAGAAAAGAGATTATTATATTTTATTAAGTAATCTAGAAAAGGAAGGACAGTGTACTACATAATCTCATGGAAAAGACGTGAATAGTTTGAGGATGAAGAAAACCCTCCTTAGATAATCTAAGGGTTAAATGAGATTTATGATTGTCATCTGTGTATTATTAAATAATTTTACATAGGGCCATACCACAATCCTTTAATACTATCACACAGTCACTTAAAAATATAAACCAAGTCATTGTTGAAGAAAGTCTCACTTAAAACATTCAAATGCAGATGTAGGACCCACTAACTTCCTTGTTGTCAGTTTGCCATCCAGGAAGGGTGCAAGTTCATGGCCTGTTCAATAAGCAGATTCTGGCATCAGGACAGACCTGGTTGTACTCTGCTGCATCTGTAAAGTGGGAGTTCTAATAGAACTTACTTCATAGGATGGTTTGGGAATTAAATATTGTTATTTTATGACCACTATTTCTTTGATGGTTCTGTGATCTTTTGGGGTATAGTAATTTGGGATTATATCTATGATTATAATGAGTTTATATGTTGTTCTGTCCTTGATCCAGGTCACAGGATTTCCCATCCGGATGCCATACACTGATGTTCAGTCAGTTATTGATGCCGTGTATCAGACTGGAATTCACTCTTCTGAGTTTCCTGAGACAGAATTTGCTTTAGCTGTATATATTCACCCATATCCAAACAACATATTATCTGTGTGGGTCTACTTGGTATCCTTATCCCAACATCACTGAAAAGAAAGAAGGGACAAGGAAGAGATGATACCATGATCCCCTAGACCAGAAGCCATCACAACTTTTCTGTTAACAGTATCTTTCTGCTTAGCTTTCCAACTAAATCCAACTAGGTCCTAATCCCAATTTTTGATTCACTTACAGACTTGGGAAGTAACCCCAATCCTTATCTCCCTCCCCACAGACTTGAGGGTAAGTGTAGATGACCGTCTCCCCCGTGCTCCTAGGAAGACCCTTTGAGCATTACTTTCTACAGTAGGTATTACTTTGGGAAAGAAGCAGTTACGGCTCATTACCGTTAAGGCCAATGTTTCTCAAATATGAACTTCACACCACCATCACAAGAATCATCCAGAGAGTCTTGTTGAAAATGCAGATTCCTGGATATCACCCAAGGCCTACTGAATCAGACCTCTGAGAGTAGAGACCCACAGTCTGCATTATTTTCAACAAGCTCCCCAGGCGATTGTGACAGACTATTAGTGGAAAGAATTCAGTTTTACAGAATGTTGTCATTACTAAAGTAGGGCTAACGTGGGTTCTGATTCCATTGCATGTAGAAGTTATTCAAATTGAAATTTAAGGTCATTGCCTTTCATAGGATAAAATGTTATTTCATGGGTAAAGAAAACAAAGAAAATGCATAGGAATTCGCTGCTAGGGACTTCCTAAAAGTTTGCATTTGGAATAGTCCTGACAAAGAAATCCTTATGGCTCCTCATATTTGGAAGGGACTCCCAGGAAACTCTTAAATTTTTTCTAGCATGTTAAGAAGTAAGGTAATTGTCTAAACAAATCCAAGGGCTCCTTTTTTCCTTAGTGAGAAGCCCCCACTCAGCCTCTGGCACTTTTCTGTTATCTTCTTTTCCTATTAGTGGCTACCCAGAGACCCATGTAGATTCTAGGAGGGATCTAAGCAGGAAACCATACTATATATTTTTATTATGTTTCATTGTTCTGTTCTCCATGGAGAAAAGTATTTCCATAATTTACTTAAATAAGACTTAGCAATTTACCATTTTAAAAATATAGCCAAGGGATATAGATTTCCAAAAGTTGACCAGAACAGTTTTATCTGAGGTAAAGGTGAAATTGACCTTTCCCATTGCAAGAACACTGGGCCTTCTTGGTTCATTCATACAGAGAGCAGAGACCCTCAGTTTCATCCACAGGAAACCTCACAATCCATGTCCCTTCCTCACATTTGCCACATGGGCTGGTTCTAGAGATGGCCTTGTCTTTTTGCAGTGACGTTAGTCTTGGGCCTAGTTTGAGACTACCAGAAGAAAGACGGGGACATGGATGAAGGAATGTGTTTCTTCCCCCAGATTAAAACTTAATTGTGTGTCTTCTGACATGCAAAAGAAAACTGACTAGAATTTTTATTTTTAATTCAAAGTTTGTGATTAAGTGTTATAGGAAGTTTTGTTTTTAGATAGGTCTTCCACTTTGAGGTGGCACAAAATAGTGCCTGTGAAAAGATGACCTTACCCCAGAAATGCCAGATTTATGTATTCATTTCTGTAGGACTTAAATGTTTACCTAGGTCTTTTATTCATTGTGTATGACTTTAGAATTGGTAGGCTACTGAAGGCAGCAAATAGTCACAGACAAGTAAGGACTATTCTTTATTACATGTATTTTTTGTATGTGTATCTGCTACTTTTTAAATTAATTTCTCCTAAAAATTGTGAAGCTGTCTGTAATGAATCATTTTTTCAAAGGTTTTAAAAATACATGGTTTAAAATGGAATATATAATTTTAAAGTTTTTTAAAATCATGCCACAGATAATTACAGGGTAGCCTTATGTGCCAGACACTTTAATATGTGCTAAAGAACAGCAGTAAAAAGACAAAGATCCTACCAGTATGAAGTTTACACTCTTACAGCGTATGCACTATCAAATATAAACAGAAAGTGAGTCCGAAAATCCCAGATATGATAAGTGCTATAAAGGATAGAAACAGGAGGGGAAGGTTGAGGCCATTCTTGGAGATGGAAGGTGTAAGCGGAGTATGCATGGAGGCCTCTCTACAGAAATAATGTTTAAGCTGATATTTAAAAAATGATTTCCCAATTAGAACTGGATTCAATTGCTTGTAACAGAAACCTAACAACAGTAGTGAAACCAAGCAGGGATTATTTTTTCACATAACTGCAAATCCAGAGGAAGAAGTCCAAACTGGTGCAGTGGCTCCACAAAGTCTTGGGTATACTTGTCTTTATCCAACACTTTGGCCTACACTAAGGAAGTTTTTCTGTTTTAACTCAGTGGCTTTCAAATTTCAACAAGTGTAAGAATCACGAAAGGCCTACATGAAGGGCCTACTGAAACAGATTACCAGACTGCACTCCCAAACTTTCTGATTTCCTGGGTCTGGAGTGGAACCCGGTAATTTGCACTTGTAAGTTCCCAGATGCTGCTGCTGAGGCTAATAAATTGGGGAGTGCACTTTGATAACCTGAGCCTTAGCTTTACAGTAATTCTCATGGCCAGAAAATGCAGCAAGATAAAGGGGAAATAGAGAATGCCAATTGGTTCTGCTTGGTTTTTGGTACCAGGAATGAAACT